GGTTTGGTTCTGTCTATTGCTGCCACCTCCTTGCCATCATTAGCTCAGCATTCTCAACAGACCTTGATCTGCAAATGCTGGTTTCAGACACTTCCTGGCTTTCCCACTCAGCCTCTTCCCCGATCACTGGGTCTGTCCCCAACCTATGCCACAGGCCCACGCAGGCTCTTTAGAACTTGGTGCTGTCATTGAAGCCTAGGAGCATCCACCAAGGGGTCTCACATACTGAAGAGAGAGAAGGTTCTTTGCACTAAATCTGCCAGGTTCTATGAGACACAAGGAGGACTATGGGAATCAATAGAAAAATCTCCCATCCTCAAGGAATCTCACACTTGAGGTGGGCTGATGTAAAGAAAGCATCCTCCATCCAAGCAATGGTGTTTTGAAGAGAGTGAAGAGAAAGACTTGCACCTGTGTCCAGACTGGAAAATACCCAGCCTGCCTTTGGTTGTGGATGAGAAGGGAGGAAGCAATTGAAAGTTACTTGACCATCCAGATAGAAGTAGTTTGCCCATGTCCTAGTAGTTGAAAGTAAATGATGGGCACCTTGAATCTGTTAACTCTTTTCTCTACCCAGGTGAGGCCCATCTTGTATGCTGTGCACTCTCCAGTCACCCCTGATCCTCTCTCTGCAGGGAGGTATCGGTCAGGTTCATGCTTCTCTTTTCTGTCACCAGCAGCAGCTCTTTCTTCCTGTCATCATCCCTCTGGCAGTCTCAGGCTCTGCCTCTTCACAGTTTGGCAGGTCCAGGCAGTCTCCGACATATCCACAGGAGCCTACCAGGAAGACAAGCAGGTGCTTTCAGTTCCACAGAGTGTACATTCAGCCCCATGGTCATGCTCGGCTTGCAGGCCCATTGCTGCACTCCAGCTTAGTAAGCTGCATTCCCTGACAGGCAGCCAAGCAGGGACTTGCCAGGCTGGAGTTTGGACCCGGCAGGGAGTAAGCAGCGTGTTGGATGGGTAGGGCAGGAGGGTGCTGCCAGGGAGTGACACTGAGCAGGCAGAGGTCTCTGGGAGCCAGTGGCCAGCAGGGCAGGGAATGGTCTTAAACATAGGCATATGATCAAAAAGTGGCATGGTCTTAAACATGGGAGGTATGATCAAAATGTGCAGTGAATGTTCAAATGTTTAAAAAAAATTATTCAGTAAAAAACAAACTGCCATCAAAACACATGTGCATGCGAAAACACCACGCACACATACACACACAAATAGAGCCAAAAAAATTTCCCCCTTAATTGGAACATACCAATCTCATCACCCCTACTACCCTCTGGAGCAGCTCCAGAGGCCTCCTCCCTTCATGTCTTTCTGTCCTTACAAGCTGTGATAAAAAATAGGATGAATGCTGCTGCCAAGGTCATCCAACAGAAAGACAGATTTGCAAAAACATGACACTGTGTTCTAATCCACCCTATTCACCAAATCTGGAGCTATGCAACTTCTACCCTTCCCCAAAGTCGAAATGACCACAAAAGGTAAAGGTTCAGAACTGATTAAGATACTGAGGCAGCTAAAATAGTACAACTGAAGACACTCAGGAAAGAGTAGCTCCAGAATTGCTCCAGAAAGTGGCAAGAATGATGGGACAAGTGTTCCTAGAAGCAATGCGGAGTATTCTGATGGGGACTCATGGCAATGTGTGTCCCGCTGCAAACTATTTTCCCAAATATGAACAGTCACCTTATCCTGGCAACACACCCGTACACATGTGCACAATGAGTGTACCTGAGCTAACACACTGTTAATGTCAGTGGAAAGGTGCTGTGGGTAGGGCTACTATGACTCACTTATGGCCTGGGAAGAGAGATGTGTACAAGTGAGCAGAGGCTACCAGCCCGGTACTCACTCGAGGGAAACCAGACTGCCCACATCTTGGTGTGCTCAGAGGCTGATGTGGGCCTTTGAGTCATTTCCACTTCATTGTGCTATTTTGCTGTTCTATATTGGCTTGTCTCACTATTTTGTACATAGGGACAAGTGGGAGGTTCAACCAGTCTAACAACGCATACTGTATACCATAAATGTCAGGTCAAACATTTCTATTTATTCCTGTGCATATCCAGCAGATTTGTGCCTACAACTTTTTCCGTGTGTTTTGAGTTTTTTCTTTTTCTTTTCTTGTTTTCATTCTTTCTGATACAGGGGCTCACTATTAATTAAGGCCAGCCTTGAACTCACTATGTAGCCGAGGCTGGCTTCAAACCCACAGCGATCCTCCTGCCTCAGCCTTCCAAGGGCTGGGATTACAGTCGTGTGCCTCCACACCCAGTTATAACTACTGTTAAAATAAAAAACAGAGTCATCTGAAGAAATACATGGGGTCTGGAGCTTGGGCACAAGATCAAGAAGGCAGAGTTAGGTGGGAAGGTCTGGCCATCCCTAGCAGGCCTCAGGAAGTCTTTGCAACACCAGACACACTGTTGGGACACAGGCTCAAAGTTGGAGTCATTACACAATAGGGATCCTCAGTGGTGAGTCGTTTTTGTGGAGCATAGCTCCCAAGTAGTTCAATCTTATCTTTGCAGTTCTTATCTTCATTACTTCATCTGTTCAAATCCCTTGGTTTGCTTTCAACCATATCAGTATGTATTCGAACCTCCTGAAGTTCTCTCCAGTAGCCTACTGGGAACATTACTTATGGGGATGTGATGCTTCTTCATGCAACTCTGCCCTTAAAAGTCGGGGGGAATTTTCCACTTATTAGGTGCACAGAGCTGCACTGCCTATTCTCCAGTTTTTGGAAATGCTTCAATCAGTTACAAAACTTCTGGAAATTGCTTCTCCAGTGAGTACCCAGCAAATGTTACCTAGACACACAAACAGCACCAAATTGAGCCCAGGCTAATCCATCTTTCCATGCTGTCACTGCACCCAGCAACTTTCACTCTAAGGTCTTTAAGCATAGGCATGTATCTATTCAAAGACATGACTAGAAATGTTCAGAGCAGTTGTATTTAAAGTAGCAAAACACAGAAGTCACTCAGATGTGCATCATCTGGGGAGTGGACACGTGCGGTGTCTTCCTACACAGAATGTGGCGCCACCACACAAGGAAAGAAGCACAGCTTGAATCTCAAAAACATGCTAAGTGACAGAGCTGTCAAAAGATTCCCCTTATATATTACAGAAAGAGCAAAGTGGAGCATGACAAAGCAGTTAGGTGGTTGCAAGAGATCACAGTGGAGGGCAGTGATGACTGTCAAGGGACATGAGGAGAGCTTTTGCAGTGAAGAAACATTATGAACGTGATGTAGTAGTGGTTGGGTGTCTCCTACATTTATGAAATTTACCAATCTATGCAAGTAAAATGGGTAAACTTAACTCTATATAAATTATTTCACAATAAAGCTCTTAAAATAAGGTAACTACTAAGATCTAAGAAATACCCAGGGAACTCACTTTTGAAGTGACTTGCACACCCAAAGAACTAAAAACCATACAGAGATATGTTTGAGACAGGACTTGAATGACACTTTCAGGACGCACCTGATGTATTACCATATGTGCCAGTGAGGGTGCACGGAAAGGGAGGTCTCTACCCTCTGCGAAGTGTCTCAGCCCAAGCTTAATGTGCTCTTTTCTAGCCACCTGAGTCCAGGGTGAGTAATGTGACCATCTTCATCTTTTAACCCCACTTAGAATACACTGTATTTCAGAATTAAATGCATGGACGAAAGGAGGAAAGGTGTCCCAGTAAGGCAAGTTGGCCAAAGATAGCAGTACTGGGGGCACAAGTATGGGACAAGGGATACAGCATTTTAACAACACAGGAAAAGTACGTGAGGACAACAAAGAAGCAGCTTGGACACAATTTGGCATATCCCTACAATGAGATAAAAACACATAACAAGTTTTTATTGGAGAAGCCAAAAATAGTTTAAGAAACACAAGGAGGTGAAAAGAAAATTGGTCACATGGATGACCCAAAAGAGTAGGAGGCAAGGAGTAAGGAGGATGCAAGGGGAATTCTCAAAGACAGGAGAATCTGCCTGGATGTAGACACCATCAGGGAGCCAGGGGATGGAATCTTTTCAGCAATATATGTGTGGACCTTCCAATACCACTGGTCAAACAGATCTTACACAAACTTTTTTGCAGGTCTGCAATGATCATTTATGTGTGGTCCTGACATTGTCGGCAGAAACCATGAAAATGACAGTAAACTTCAGGAGACAGCCCACTAAAGACCTGCCTGCCTCTCCAGAATCACCCGCAACTGGCCCAGGCTCCAAGGGCAAGTGCACATGAGCAGTTCTAGTGCTCAAAAAAATAGAGTCCGCAACTTCTCTGGACAGAAATAGATGAGTGGGTGAGTTGTTTGAAAATATAATAATAGATGCCATTTAATATAGGTGGACAATAGGTAGAGACATTTTCAGTACTTGGCAACCTTGTTGCCCAGCTGCTATTGGGGAGCTCTAGATGTGCTCCTTCCACCTTGTGACACCTCCAAAATTCTTGTTTACCCCTTCTACCAAGTGTGGCCACAGTGAGAAAGTTCCATTGATAAGCCAGAGGACAAGCCAAATCTGGTAGTGTACTGATGCCCACTTCTTAGTCTCCCAATCTCAAAACAAATTTCTGCTGTTTAGAATCTACCTAGATTATGATACTGCTTTACGGCAGCCTGAATATACAAAGAGCCTAGGTTCATATAACCTGAGTTTCTGTTACCCTATATAGATATGAGCACTGATGGAATAATTGAGAGGTGAAAAGACTTTTGACACCCAGGTGTGGATAACATTCTCCAAGACATCACTTTCATCACTTTCAATACAAACTAGTAAGACATAAGGTAGAAGCATGAAGATATAGTAAGGAAAGGAAAAGGGATCCAGATCCAGTGTGATGGTGAGGAAGGTGGATGTTCATTGGGACTTACACATCCATGGCTCCCTGGGTGTCTTAGTTAATTGTTGCTGACACGAAATACCCAACACCCAAAGTTAAAGGAGGAAAGGTTATTTGGGCTCACATTTTGTAGAGGTTTCAGGCCATAGTAGGCTGGCTCCAAGACAGGATGGCAGGGCCGAGGGACATCACAGAGGAGAAACAGTTCATGGCAAGCAAAAGGCAGCAACAAGCTCAGTAGCAGCAAGTGAGAAGTGACAGCAGCAAGCCCTCTTTCTGTCCCTTATATCCTATCCAGGCTACCCACCCTTAGGGCAGGTATCACTCACACCGAGGGTGAGGCATCCTTAATCCTAGCACTGCACCATGAATCAATACCAGCATCATATATTTGATCTCAACATCACACACCCTATATCCAGGCACCTCTGAAAAGCCCCACCTATGCCCACATGAGAGACATCTAGCTACAAACAACAACAGTGGGGGATATAATGAGTGCCTAATAAGAGGAGACTCAATGTGTGCTTGGCAATGAACATTACGCAGGAGATTCTTCATGAGATAGGGCTGAATGGATGCATGAAGAGTGGATCAATGGCTGTGTGAGCGAGTGGGTGTATGTCATAGGCAGACCCTACGTGCGCTCACACCCACCCATCCCTCCCACACACAGAGGGCTACAGCTCTGTGTGCTTCTCCTCAGCCCTCTTTAGGTCCTGGATCTTCCCGGGCAGGGTCTCCATCCAGAACTTCAGCCTGGAGGCCTTCAGGGCACGGCCCACAGTAGGCTCAATGTCCAGCTGCAGGTACAGCTCCTCATTGTCCAAGGCAGGCCAGTGGGGCAGGCCCTCACCATTGGGGTTCCTGTGAAGATATCCTCCCAACATGGGGTGAGAGGTCAGTCTGAGTCCTTGGAACACTGCCTGAGTATCTTGATTTGCATCAGTACTGACAGCTAAGCTGGCAAGTGTAGATTAAGGGGAACTTCTCCTGATAGAGAGAACAAGGCCATCCCACTAGTGTCCCTTCCATGTGAGACAGGCCTTCCAGTCCTGTTTAGTCCCTCCCTCTTAGAGAAGGGCTGTTTCTGAGTCACACCACTATGGTCCACCACAAAGGTCACTGGGAGAGGGATGAGTAACCTATACTGGAAAGGCTCCTCTCTGTGTCCAAACAATTCTTGGTCTTGCAAAGGAGTTAATGTGTGATTTAGTACACACATATGCTAACAAAGTCCCCACAGATAAGAGGGGCACCTGATGGGTTCACACACCATGTGAAGATTGAGGTAGGGGCATCATCTCACCCATTTTGTGCAAAGTTGGCCCAATACTTCATCATCCTCCTATTTAGTAGCTTCTCCTCCTCAGTGAAGGGAGCTGCAGAGCAAAGGAGGACAAAAATGCAGGTCGTTGGCTGATGCTCACCGCACTCACCCTGCTGCACATTCATGTACCAATCTCATCGCTCAAGTATAGGCTGACCCTGGACATCAGGTCTGGTACTCTCCTTCCCCACTTATGCTAGAGCCAGGTCCTCCCCTTGCCCAACCTTCTTCATCTCAGTCTCTAGACAAAGTGAGCCATGGTTCAGTGCTGACCCAGAAGATCCCTTCTTCCTTTGACTCTGGTAAGTCATTGAAAAAAATGAATATACTGTGAGACAGTCCCTCCTGCCCTTTTTACCCATGCTGGACCCCATGGTCAGGATGAGGACAGTTGGAGGAGGGTGCACTGAGTGAAGTGCAAGGGCTTGATTCTCACCCCAGCACAGTCTCCTGAGGTATAAGATAGTGGACACTGACCCTATCCTCTCTCTGGTCCTCAGCTTCCTCATCTGGACTGTGAATGAAATCATAACTGAGGGGCCCAGCTAGAGCCCATCCCTACTCCGCTGTCGAGAAGACTCACCTTTCTGGCCCCACAGGAAGGATCCAAAGACAAAGGGAACCTCATCACCATGATCAGCCTTCACGTGGGGTGGCCTGATGTTTTTCAGGAAGTTGGGAGGATGCTGGAATTCATAGAAGTACACAGTGCCATGGAAACCTGAGGAGGTGGACAGCTGTGACTTGGTGACCTGTTAACTGGAGTGCTTCTGCCTCACCCTTGGGGATAAAATATCTAAGTCCAAAGTTGACTGGAACCTGAACAGTGTTGTTAAAGAGCCCCAGGTTGCAGCAGCAACAATGGGAAGGGCCTTGGATAAGTCATGACCTTGGACTCCCCAACTGAGTAGTTTGGGCAACTCACTCTCCCCAGTTTCTCCACTTGTACAATGAGAAAGATGTCTGTCTCTTACATTAAGTATGAATATGACTTTTAGTGCATATTAGGTGAACTGACTCATGGGTTTCATTTTGGCATATTTCTACATGCATTTAACACTGTGATCATTCTCCCCCTGTTTCCACCTTCCCTCTTTCTTCCTCCTTTCACTGATTTCCTTCCTCTATTCTACTGGTCTTCCTTCTTTCATATCCCCCCCTTTTCTCCACATTTATCCTATGTAGGAAATATGTGATATGTGACATTCTTTTTTTTTTTTTCCTCCTTTTGAGACCTTGTCTCAATATGCAGCTCAGACTGGTCATGAGCTCACTTTATAGCCCAGGCTGGTCTCAAACTCTCAGGGATCCTCCTGCCTCAGCCTCCCCAGTGCTGAGATTACAGGCGTGCCCCACCATGCCAGGCTGATATGTGACATTCTGTGCATGGCTCATTTCACTTAACATAATGATCTGCAGTTCCATCCACTTTCTTGCAAATGATGTGAGTCCATACTGCTTTACAGATGAGTAATGTCTATTGGACATACACACTTTCTTTACCTGTTCATCTGTTGAAGGACACCTAGGCTACATCTCAATACTTATCTATTACAAAATATGCTATGTTAAATATGGCTAAGCCGGCCTCTTTGTAGTATGCTGACTTTCATTCTTTTAGGATATACTGAGAGTTGTATAACCTAGTTTTAGTTTTCGGAGGAACCCCATAATGATTTCCATAATGGCTATACTAATTTTATTTAAACCATGAGTAGAGAAGGCTTCCTGTTTCCCTATATCCTTAATCCTCATCAGCATTTACTGGATTTTGTGTTCCTAGAGACAGATACAGTATTCTTTTTCTGTATGTGTGTGCAGTACTGGGAATTGAGCCCTGGGAATTCACAGAGCTACATTCCCAGTCCTTTCTCAATTTTTAAAATTTGACACACGGTCTCACTAATTTCCTAAATGTCCCAAAATAGGCTGAAATTAATCATGCTCCTGCTTCAGCCTCACATAGTACTGGAATTACAGAACAAAAGGATCTCATATCTTTTACATATGTATATCCATTTCTCCTGGCACAATTGGCTAAACACATATTTTTGGCTCCTTTCCAAAAAATTGCATTGATGTACTTGTTTCGGTTTCTTATGGTGTTTCCTATTCTGTTCCATTGGTCTATGGATCTATGTTGCATTATTACCGTTCTGTTTTTAATACTATGGCTTTGTAATATATCTTAAAATCAGTAATTGTGATCCTCCAGAGTTGCTCTTTTTGCTTAAGATTTAACTACAAAGATATACTGAGATGACAGATATCAAGCATCTGGCACTAGAGGCTCAATAAAATATGGGAAGAGATCTGAACTCTACTTCACCTCACAGCTCTGAGCTATTGCATAGGCAGTGAGATCTCAGCTACTGATGTACTCACGATGAAAATGTGCTACTTTGAGGGCAGGAATCACGAACATAGAGTCTGCCATCATCTCATAGAACTGGAGTTGGAGGACCTGGGGGTCCTCATTGTCTCCCATGTACTCTTCCATCAACAGGTCACCAAACTCAGCAGGCAACATCTAGCTCAGGTAGATCATGGACAATTAGATTAGATAGGTTTTGGGGTATGGGAGGGAGCTTGTGGTGGGAAAACAGCTGATGGATTCAGGATTTTAGGAAATGGGCAAAACTTGGGGTGACCCTATCTTCAACCACATATATAGTGTAGCTTCTTTTGGATGAGATAGCTGCATGGGCATGAATCTGGGAGTGCCATATCCTTGAGATAGGAACTCTCTTGGCAATAGGGCTCAAGTTCCTGGATCGCTGAGCACTCACTCTGATTACAAGGGACAAATTCTGTATGCCTCTGCGATTCTAAAAACTAGTGCAGCCACCGCTGCCAACTGAAACATGGCACTCTACAGCTTTCTTCTCAGAGCAAAGTCTTTCACCTTTGTAGTTCTGAGGCTGCAAAGGGTGGAGATTTGCTGCTTCTTTTGATGGCCTCATGCTGTCTTTTTGTTACTCTTGTTCCTTCTAAGCAATGGAGATCTCAGCTCTGTCTTTACAGTCCACAGCTTCATTGGAACTTCCTTTCCAGCCAAGCTCACAACATTTTAAATCATCCTGCTGGGCTCTTTGCTCCTGATTCTCAACATAAATATGGCTAACAGCCCCCAATAATACCCATGCCAGCGCCTCAACATTTGACTGCCTTGAAATATCTTCCACCAGACTAATTAGTCCATCGTCCTTAATCTCAGTTTGAGGCAAAGTCTCTGGACACAAGCAAAATGCAGACAAATATTAGACAAGCCATAACACACATCTCTAGAGTCCAACAACCAATGCAGTCCTTCCCAGCAGAAACTTCCCAAACCTGCTCTTTACCAACAGGATTTCTATCAGCCTTCTGGTCTTCTGAGCTCTGACCAGAATCTCCCACACAGAACAGCCAAAAGTGTTCTAGCACTTCTCTTTCAGATGAACTCTCAGATCCTTTCCAAACACTTCCCATAAGCCATTTCCAAAGGCTCTTGAACCATGTAGTGAGGTATAGTCACAGCAAGACCCCACTTCTCTGGTATGAAATTCTGTCTTGGTTACTTTTCCCTCATTGCTTAGACAAAATCCCCAGTCCACAATAAAGAGGAAAAGTTTATGAGCTCACAATTTGTGGAGGCTTCAGTCAATACTTGGCTGGCTCCTGGACAGACTGGCACATGGCGAGGGTAACAGTTCATACCAGGAGAAGACGGTAAAAACAGCAAGAGCAAAAAAGGGAGGAGTGGCAGTGGGAACAACAAACCTCTCTCCCTCCCTTTTATTGTTTGCAAGCTCCTCACCCCAGGGCAAGTGTACCACTAACACCATAATCCTAACATTGGACCATGGATCAATCACAAACTCTAGAAGCCCACCCTATGATTGCAAGAGGCTATAGGGAGACATCCAGACTCAAACCATAACAGGCATTTATGACACTTTGGGGAGATATCCAGGCACATAACAGGAACACAGGAGCCTCACCATCTGTGCTGACATGCTTTGCAGAACAGCCTGTAGAGTCTCTCTGTTCATTTTCTTCTGATTGTCAGCAAAGCCAGATATCTGGGTAGTGGAGGGACAGTATAGAGCTGAGAGTGAGATCAGTATGCACCTATGTAACCCAGAGGACCACTACAAACCAAATGCACACCCAAAACTACTGAGGGCTTGGGAGTCCACCTTACCATGGGGATGATCCAGCCATACTCATTATTATTGACACCAATGATGCTGGGGACAGGTTGAAAGTCAGCAGAGGCCAGCAGCTCCTGGGGGTGCCTAGGCAGGAAGGCCCCATCCACTACAGCAGGGATGATTTTCAAGGACTAATGGGGCATTCAAGTCAGGGATGATGGTCAGGTCTCAGATATTTTCTAATGCCCAGTGACTTGCTTCCAGCCCCTCTTAACTCACTCCAGGATGCTCACATCCACACCCAGGATTCCCACACTTCACTTAGCACATCTCTGTGCACATTTCCCATCCAGGTCTGCATGGACAGCAACCCATGCACATGTGGTTATTTGAACAGATAAAAGGGACTCACACCCTCAGACAATATCACCCCCTTCATACACATCTGAGAACAGCCAACCTTCGTAATAGCCACAATCTCCTCTTCACTCTTGCCACGGAGGCATCTCACCATGGCCTCTGAGTCAATATTCCCACATCCAGACATGTTGGCCACCACCTGAAATTAGTTCAGGCAGGGCCTGGATCATCCTTCCAGGCAGGAAGAGGACTCAGTCAAATACAGGCAAACCCCAATGTCACAGACACCCAGTAAGAATTGCTGCCAGTAACAAATTCTTCTATCTTCCCTGCTGATTGGAAGTCTCAGCCAAAGGGACCATCACATTTATTCCCATGGTTCCACAATGAGTACCCCATGAGTTATCTTTGCTGACCACAGATCATACTCAGGTTTTTAGAGGCAGAGGTATGTAGATTCTCACCCTTGAGGATTTTAGCAATTCCCAGAAAGGAGCAGTTCCCAAGACACCTCAGTTGCCTTTGTTGTTCCCACTGAATGACAGTGCACCAGAGGCTCTGAAGGTGAGGGAAGAAAGAGGGGTCCTGGGCAAGGTTGGTCAAGGGTACTCACTGTGGAGATGGCCTCATGTGAGCTGGAGATGAGATCAGGCAGTAGGGCTACCCCACTCTCCATGATGGCACCATGGAAGAGTCCTTGGGACATGGGAGACAAGACATGTGAGGACACACTTGTGCCACCTGCTGACTCGCCAAATATGGTGACACGGTCAGGGTTGCCTCCAAAGTGAGCAATATTCTGCTGTACCCAGTGCAGGGCAGCCACTTGGTCCAGGTAGCCCCAGTTGCCAGTGGCATGTTGGTCTCCAGTGCTGAGAAGTGGTAGGGACAGTGATCACAGGCCTGTTCTGGCTCTGCTCAGCCTTATTTCCCAGCACAGCCCCAGGCTCACCTGAAGAAGCCTGGGACACCTAGGCGGTACTGGATAATGACCACCACCACGTTCTCAGAAGATGCCAGAAGGGATCCATCATACAGGGAAGCCATGCCTACAACCAGCGCACCACCATGGATCCATACCATCACCTGGGGAAGTACAGACACATGCCATGTGACTTCTGCTCAGCCCAAACACTACCTGGCCTCCTCATACACTACCCACTGCTTCAGCTCTAAGCACCTACCAGAAGGACTCCAGTAAGACTGTACAACTGAGGCATGGGTCACAGACCAAAGTTCAATCAGGCAGAAGAGAACTTTCTTTCTTTTGGGTCAACTACATGAATCCACAAATGGATCTATTACTCTCAGACCCCTGGACAATGGAAATGGGGGGGGTTCTGATACTGTCCTGCTTAAATACTAATAAAAATGTTACTTCATTGGCCTAACAGATAAATTGCAGCTGGGCTCTTGGGTCACTTCAAAGCTGAACTCTTGGGCACCAAGACCTCTGAACTCTGGAACTAGTTAGGGTTCTGTGACTTAATGCTAAGGGTCAGTTCTCATCTAACCTACCTGAGAAGCCCTTGTTGGTCTCCATAGCAGAAGGCTTCACAGCAGGGTCTACACTGCAATGGAACCAAGCTAATTATGTCCATTCTTATTCTCTTTCACTTTTATTTGATTTTGTGGTGCTTGGATTTGACACTAGAACATTGTGCTTGACAGGCAAATGTCTATCACTAAGCCAGATCCTTAGTCAAAATCTCTTCTTGGAGAAGGAGTGTTCTCCATACCCAAGCTGACCATGGTTTAATACTCACAGGCAGGCTAGATCCCTCATGGACATGGGCAGGTGTGTAGATGTTGAGGTACAGGCAGTCTTCAGACATGGGTATGGGGATAGAAGGCATGGTCATATTAAACAGCTTCAGACCCTCTGGACTACTTAACTGATCATCTTGCAGACACCTAGTGACAATGACAGGCAGTTATTCCAAGGTCTGTTGTGTTCAAAACCTGATGATGGCTCCTCACTTCACCCTATCA